GCTGTCCCCAGCCGTGATATTGCTGGAATATTGCTGAAAGCGGCGTAAAACCATGCCCACTCACAATTACTGGTGCTGAAGACGTCGTTGTCGGCAGGGTACTACAGATATGTACACAAGGTACGTGTCAATATACAAAAGTGTACCCAACCCAAAATCAGAATATAAAACAGTACCCGGTTGGTTAGCCTTATTGTTATAGTGTTCGCGTGTCCCCTTAATGCCCGGGTTCGATTCTCCACATGGGTACAATGTGTGAAGCCCATTTCTGATTCCCCCCCCCCCCCTCCTTCCCCCTGTGGTTTTGCTGGAATATTGCTAAAAGCGGGGGAAAACCATGCTCACTCACCCATCATTGCTACTGCTGAAGACGTCGTTGTCGGCAGGGTACTACAGATATGTACACAAGGTACGTTTCAGTATACAAAAGTGTACCCAACCCAAAATCAGAATATAAAACAGTACCCTGTTGGTTAGTCTAGTGGTTATAGTGTTCTCATGTCAATCCGAAGACCCGGGTTCGATTCCCCATTTGGGTACAATGTGTGAAACCCATTTCGGCAAAACAATCTGAACCGTTAGATAATGTTTACGGCTGCCGCCAGGTGCGGTGTCATGTGATAGTCACGTGCACGAGTACGGATTCCTGCAACTGCAATCTGAGATCCTGTTGGACTGAAGCGAAGCGACTGATTGTACTGTGAGTTTTCCCGTGGTAGATGTTGGGTTGTTTTCTTTAATGAATTCGAGATTAAATCGATACACTTCTCACATTTCCGTATTCTTATGAAAAAAAATCCGCCTTATTCTGGCACTTGAATTGGTCATCGACGGCCCGCATATCCGTCACCACTCGCGTCGGTCCGGAAGCATTCGGCTCGTATCGGAATGATCCAATCGTGATCCTGCCGTCGGGCCGTCAGAGAACTCGGTCCTAATTGTACCGAAAGTCAATATGAGAAGCTACATCTTCCACTCAAATGCGGTCTAACTGAGGAATTGAGCTTCACTGGTCAATATTTTATTCTAAATGAGTTCCTCTGACCTACTGTAAATAAATTACTTCCTCTGATTAACCCTGAATGATATAAACACCTTGTAGAGCTCGCCATGGCCTCGCAGACAGAAACAGTTGTTTTCTTGTCGCCGAAAGAACAAGCTCTCGCCCACGCGGCTTGTTTAGGTTACACTTTTATGTCTTCTCGTAATCAAGACTCTGTGATCAATACTGGATACTGCAGCAAATGTCAGATATTTCATCATACACTCTGATTTATTTAAATGATTTAAAACATGGACAAAAAACGGAAACGTTGAATTCTCTTCCTCAGGAAAAGACCAGTGTCCCGTAAAACATACATTTTCCAAGCTGACCCATCATTTGTATAGAGCTAATATGGAAATATCAATATTTGAAATTCATATGAGGGGAATTGCAGCAGTAATGGTTTGTGAGTTGGCAATGATAGCCTTCAGTAACTGATGTTGGTTGATTTTGGTCCATTTACACCATGATTCTTGCACGTGAACATGAATTTGTCAAACGTCGAGGGAACAAATCGAAATGTGATGACATGCCATTCAGAACGTAGCGTTATGAAGCTGAAATGGAAAACAGAATAGTTTTAAATGGTTTTGTCAGAAAGATTTCCCAACATGTTAGTCTCAGTATTAGAGGTGAGGTGAAATTGGGCTTAACGTCTTGCTTGAGAATATTTCGCTCATATGACGACGTGCATGCGCGTGTGTGTGTATGTGCGGCTGCTTGTACTAGCCCAGACTGAAGCTGGTTTTATAGTGCCGACCAATACCCATCAATGCCGAGCGCCAGGCAGGGACCAAAAAGTACCACATTTTAACGTCTTTTGGTATGACGCGGTCGGGCATCGAGCCCGCGACCTTCCGATCTCCGGGCGGACGCTCTAACCACTACACCACGGAGGCGGTCCTCAGTATTTGAAATGGCGTGTGGTGGCTCGACGCCACGTTGTATTTTTTCCCTGCGTGATTCGCTGGCAGTTCATACAAAAAGACTGTCTGTCAGTTCTTGAACCACATTATATTCTAAATGGTTGGTGATTGATTGCGTCACACATTGCCAAAGTCTTCGTCCTTAGTCTATTGACATCATCCAGACCCCGAAACCTATATATAAAAGAAAACCCATGCAGGTCTGAATGTTTGGTAAGTCTAGATTACGAAAATAAACAAAGTCTCTGAGCTCATCTTCATTATACTTTATTCTTATAATATATTAACCGATTTTTTTCTGTAAAATATTTACATTTCAGAGACTAGATGTTTGTTTATTTTTGGTACTAAGTACCAACACGTTCCGCGGTCTTTCTGGCATATTTTAGATAATATCGTGGAAGCAATATCATAAACCCTCATACCATTCCTTGTGACACACGCATTAAATAGCGAGACATAAAGACGCACATTTTGATTCATTATAATTCATAATATTCATAGCCCTTGTGAAACTGAAATTACACATTCAAATTGATTTTCTTAAATCAGTTTGATATAAACCTTTTTTTCTGTCTGTCCGATCCATTTGTCTTTTTACGAATTTACCGGACACAAGATGTGAACAGATATGGTCGTCTCCGTAACACTTGTAGCTAATGATACACGATTAAAGTACGTAACTGAATTCACTGAATTAACATTGAATTAACGTGATTATTCAATGAAAGAGTTCTGCGGTCTTGACCGTCCAAGAAACCTGTTTTTCCAGTTGGCCAGGCATGTCGACGTTCTCAAAGCGTTGTTCGCCGCCAGATGGCATGTTGTACAAGAGATGTTACGCCGAACTCATTCGTTTCTCTACTCCCTCGCTACGCATGCGCATAATATTATGATCATTTCGGCAATCCAGTGATAGACATCATGAAAATCGATCTGCGCAACTGTATGGAATACTGTAAGGGACATTCTCGCGATCTCGCATTCTCGCGATCTCGTCCTTTGGAAACAAGCTAAAAATGCCAAAAGTGCGAGAATACGAGATCGCGAGATTTGGCCAAAATCTCGCGTTCTCGCGATCTCTCATTCTCGTGTTTTTTGTACATAGCACTTTTTGTCAAAAGTCGAGATCGCGAGAATGCGACATTTGTACATGCTGTCAAATCTCGCGTTCTCGCGATCTCGCACTTTTGGCATTTTTAGCTTGTTTCCAAAGGTCGAGATCGCGAGAATGTCCCTTACAGTATTCCATACAACTGGGATACAATGACTTGTTTTATCTGTCGGTGAGCTTGACCACCAAAGTGCAAGACAAGCATGGGTTGCTGAAGACCAATTCTAACACGTATATTCAAGGGGGCCGACAAGCATTGGTATACTGATCTTCCAGGGGGAAGACAAGCAAGTGTTGCCACATACCAATCTTTACATGGATCGTCACAGGTTGCTTCCTTTGCATTCTATACAGAGATAGTTTCATTTTTGAAATTGTCAAGTTTGAGACAAAATATACTCGTGGAAAAAAGTATCGCAACACCCACCTAATACATTTTTCTCTCAATATCTTAAAATTCCCACATTTATGAAAATAAATGAAAACAATAACCTATTATGTGTCTCAAACGCAACAAATTATGATGCACGTGCTGCAGGTAACAAGTGTGGAGCACATGAAACACTTGCACCGCTCGTGTCATGAAAATAGTTTCAATGATCATTTACTCTTGTTAGAGATCTGACCTAAAACGCACACTTGTGTCAGCCATAGGATGGCAAGTTATGGGTGTGGTTAATGTCGGGTTGTCCATGAAACAAATTGAAAGGCAATTAGGTCACCACCCCTCAACAATCAGTCGATTAGTGAGGAAATATCACCAAACAAACGCTGTAAAGGAGCTGCATCGTTCAGGCTGACCACGCAAGACATCAGCTAGCCCTACATACTTCGATTTACCTTTGCACCAAGTCCAATGTTAAAACGTCAATGGCTTCAACATCAGCATCTCTGTCATAACACTGTTAGAAACCGACTGAAAACAGCAGAGTATAAGGCCCAGAGACCTGTCCTGTGTGGACACCTGCCACATGGATGCAAGATTACGATGGTGCCGTGACCAGCATCGGTGGAACATGATTTCTTGGAGGAAGATCCATTTTTTCAGATGAGAGCCGGTTTTTGCTGTTTGTTACTGACGGAAGGACGCGTGTATTGGCGACAGAGGAACATGAGATATGCTCAAAGGAACATCCTGGAAGAAGTTCCATTCGGCGGAGGATCTTTGACGGTATGGGGTTGTGTGTGGTATGACTGCAAACTCCAGCTTGTCGCAGTGGAGGAAATCTTGAGGAGGCATTAGTGCCTCATTTTGATAATCATCCCCTATTAACAAGGCCAATTTTTATGGATGACTACGCCAGGCCACATCGCACAAGCGCAGTCATTGATTTCCTGCATCAAGAAGCCATTATACCACCCTTCCGTGGGTGAACCATATCGAGCATGTTTGGCACATTCTGGGGCGTAAGATTCGTCAAAGAGATCTACCAGTCCAGAATATTGATGAATTAGAGCAAACATGGCACCAAAAAATGGAACAGGTTGCCCCAAAATCGGATTTAGCGTCTTGTGCACTCAACGAGGACGAGGGTTCAAAACGTCGTGCATGAGGGCGGAGGTTACACAAGATACTGACTGTCTTCTGTTTCTGAAACATTATGTTATGTTAATTTCAGTTTTATTACAGGACCCATACTTAATCAACTTATGCCATTCAGATTCTTTATTGTTGGCTTTTGTGTTAACGAAAAATGTTTTTAGCACTTTGGCTACCAAATTATTTCCTGTGAAGACGCACATGACATATAAACTGTGAATTGAATTTAGGTCCTGTCATAAAATACTTTTTTCCATCTGTATATTTTAGTGAGAGTTATGAAAAACGTTTTATCTGTTTGATGGGAGCCAGACAATTCTTTTTTTGAAACTCACAACACATGAGTCGACCATCAAGCATGGTCAAGCATAAGAACTGTCACTATTATCTGCGAACCATCAGCTCCATGAGAAATCTCATCACAACAGAATGTGCTCATTCTTTGGTTCGATCCATTATACTCTCTCGACTCGACTATTGCAACAGTCTGCACTTTGGCATCAGTTCAACTCAACTTCAGAAACTTCAAAAATTACAGAACTCAGCAGCTCGCATCGTCTGCCTCAAGTCCAAGAAAGATCATATCACACCTTCACTGATGTCTCTACACTGGTTGTCTGTCAAATTCCGGATTGACTTCAAAATTCTATGTGTCACTTTCAAAGCTCTACATGGACAAACACCTTAGTCAGTACATCCCAACCCGACCATTACGATCCCAGAATCACCAGCTACTTGTCATACCTAAAGTTCGACTCTCATCCTATGGGAAAAGATCATTCCAACACGCAGCCGCCAGTCTCTGGAACAACTTGCCCACTCACATCAAGAATGCTGAATCTTCGGACACATTTAAATCGTCTCTAAAAACCCACTTTTCTCGTCTTGCCTATTACTAGACTTTCTATGTTCAATTGTCTCTCTGTAAATTACCTATTTTCTTTTCTCCTATAGTATTGTAGCGCCATGAGCGGGTATGAGTACCTGGATGTAGCGCTATATAAATACCCACATTATTATTATTATAATCAGTGAATATTTTTTTTATTCTATATTTTCTTTCAAACACTTGGACAAATTATTTTCCTCAGCATTTCCGACCTAGTTTTGCTCGTTTCATGTGCAGGGTGACAGATAAGGAGTATGTTAACCGTGCGTCTGTCGCATGAACAGCTGGAATGGAGAGTCTTGAAGAAAAACAAGGAATAGCTGTTGTTGGGAAGCCGTCTGTGAGGAGGTCAGTGCAGGTCATGTTTAGCGTTAGTTCGCACCAAAGATGCCCTTTGCTCATTCAGCACCTGAGAACCCTAATCCAGAATACTATCAAGGTTTAAAAGGGTCGATTAAAACGAGGATCGGGTGAACTGATGCTTATGCTATCAACCACTGGTCTCTCCATCCTCAGTTATTTAGGGAATTAAATCTCTATTCGGTATTTATAATCACCTATGATTCGCCAGGTTTATAATTCGCAAGACATGACCATTTCTCATAGATCTTACGTAAATTCCAGAATATTTTTTTACTTATCCACTCAAAAGAAGTGAAGAAAATACGTTTCTTTTGTTCGACAAAAGGTAGTATGTCACGACCTAACAGGGGACAGAGGGATAGCCTAGTGGTTACATACGCCGAAGACCAGGGTTCGATTCCCCACATAGACACAATGTGTGCAGCCCATTTCTGGTGTCCACCGCCGTGATATTGCTGGACTATTGCTAAAACCGGCGTAAAATAAAAACTCACTCACTCACGACCTGACAGTTTAACTATATCCATGTACAAAACTATGGTGTTTCTTAACTTCGTTTGAGTAGTATAGTTTATGTTTATGCTGATAGCTGTTCTAGGGTCGTGCCCATTGTTTGTTTGTTTGCTTGTTGTTTAACGCCCCGCTCAGCAATATTCCACCTATATGGGAATGGGATTGAGAATGAAGATATATTAGGGACTGATCATGCCTCAAGGATCCCATTATACAACTGCGATAAGCTCTTATAGTTTCACACTACAGTTAACTACGGTTAAACCGAATACACTTATAACGAACAGACGGATAAATCGAACTGTTTTTGGTCACGACCACTCGCTGTATATATTACTCGGATGTATATAACGAACTACGGATATACCGAACTAGAATTAGTAGTCCATTTGAGTTCGTTACAACCGTAGTTTAGTGTATAAGAAGTGTTAGTTACAAGGACGTATTGCTGACGGCAAGAAACATCATTCACTCAGCGTTCGAAATTAACGTCTGTCCTCAGGCCCAAAGCCGACTGAAAACCACTCGGAACCACAGCATTTGTTATCTGTAGGTCCTTATGGCCGACAGCTTTTTCATCCCCAATACCTAAGAGAATTATTTCCATATTATATAGAATATAGGGCCTACACATTCTGATCAGGACCCACAACTTGTATGGTTCTGGATCCTTACGGCCTACGTGTTTTTTCAGGGTTAAGGGGAACCACTGCATTCACTCACTCACCCTGGTACCCACAGGGTCCTGACTAGCGTCTCTCCTGTTATAGAAAACTCTGAGTGACAGTTGCTAAATTGATCTGAGACCAAAGTTGTTTGTAACTGTCGAGACTGTTAGTTCCGGTAATTGATGGCCCGAGTCGTTCACCAAATCGATCTCTGCGTGACAATTATTGTAAATGTTTGTTAAAGTGCGCGAATTTGCTCGTGGTAATTTGTCCTCGAGATGTTGAATCCATTCATCGAGCAAATTCACATTGTGTTTTTTCAAACCCATCTCTCATACTGGGCGGACATAAGAGCAAAAAACAACTCTAAAACGTTGTCTAGTTAATTCACTGGCTACAAGCAGTTTATAAACAACATCCACGGAGTATTGCACGGTGCTCTCGGTCTCTTTTCCTTTAGGTTAGTCGTTCAAGGAAATTGTTTATTTATTATTCATACTGTGTATAAAGTGCGCGGTTTCAGCTTTTGTGAACCCAACTCGGCAGTGAGCTTCGTGACGTCACATCCGGTATTTTGAAAGGTTGACGCTCTTAAAGGAAACGCTCCACTAATAATGATCTTCCTCAGCCTTCAACATTGTTTTTGTGTAGAGCAGGAACTTGTTCCTTAACACTCATTAGTCAAGATTCCGTGAACAAATAAGGCATCAGTCTGACCTGCCCCGATATGCCCACGTAAAGATTGAAATAATATCGACAACGAATGCATGTTTTGTGTTATTTTGGTGACTTTTATGTAAAAGCATCGAGTCAACAATGTAGGTCTCGCTACATCAAATGACAGTTTGATCTCTGAAGATTAAAAGAGATTACATACCGCTATAGATGCTTCATATTTAATTCTAGCTGCTAGTGTTCAAGGAAAGAAAATCAACTCCATCTGACTGAAACGTGACATTTCAAACCTAATACACGGCAGCCATATTTATCGAGTTTGACGTTTGTGATCGTTGAAGAAATTGAGTAGTGTCATATTTAACTGGAAGGACGTTTTCAATCTTGATAGTACAAATATTAATATTAATGTTTAACATTATCTATAATTACGTAGAGTGTAGGCTTATATATAAGACTAAGTAAGCTGAAAGGCGATGGAACTGGTACTCGATGCCATTTTAATACTATCTATGGCAAACCCGCAGTGTCTGTTTAATTAGTATTCGCAGAGTTTTCGATTAGGTTTGTTCTGGTTGTGTTGTTTACGTAGCACTGGTTTGCTGGTAGACGGTGGTAGACGGCGGTAGACGGTGGTAGACGGCGGTTGGACAGCGTTAGAAGGTGGTAAACGGCGGTTAGACGGCGTTAGATGGTGGTAGACGGCGTTAGACGGTGGTAGACGGCGGTAGACGGTGTGAGACGGCGGTTGGACGGCGGAAAGCGGTGGTAGACGGCGTTAGACGGTGGTAGACGGCGATTAGACGGTGGTAGACGGCGTTAGATGGTGGTAGACGGCGTTAGACGGTGGTAGACGGCGTTAGACGGCGGTTGGACGGCGATAGGCGGTTGTAGACGGTGGTAGACGGCGTTAGGCGGTGGTAGACGGCGATTAGACGGTGGTAGACGGCGTTAGACGGTAGTAGACGGCGGTTAAACATAAACTAACACTTAGTCTTTAAATATATACTCTCCAAAAAAAGAAACGCATCATGAAAATAGCAATTTCATGTAGCAATGAATTAAAACGTGATTCATTTTACAAAAGGTTTTGCTCTGTTTATGAGTCCTATGGTGTTTATGTTTTGAACATCACAACAAAACGCACCATCCGAAAAATACCCGTATTTAACAGCATGATTGTCAATTTCGGCGTGTAGTGTCACAGAATACACAATTCACATGCAAAGCACGTGAAAGTTGGGGATCAGATAGTCTCAATGATGGGTATAAAAGGTTGATCGCTGTCTGTCGATTATTCACTGTATTTGGAATATTGTTTACGAACGCAACATGCCACGTCTAAGTAAAGCCAACAGTCATATCGCCATTGGTTTGCTTGAAGCTGGCCAGTCTCAGCGTGCAGTTGCCCGACACATGAATGTTCACCAAAGCACCATTTCACGGCTCTGGGAGAGATATCGCCGGCAGAATTCGGTAGCAGATGCCCCTCGTAGTGAGCGACCTCGAGCGACCACTGCGGCGCAGGATTGCTATATCCGGGTACATCACCTGCGTCATCGAACAGCTACGGCGACCAGTACCGCTCGACAAATACCCGGATTGAGGAGGCTTTCTGCACAGACCGTCAGGAACAGGTTGAGAGAGGCTGGTTTACGTGCCCGAAGACCTTATTTTGGCCCTGTGCTTCGACAAAAACATCGTCGACATCGAGTTCAATGGTGCACCAACGTTCAGGCCTGGAACCTACCGAATTGGCGTACAATCTGGTTCAGTGATGAATCACGATTTCTATTGGAACGACGCAATGGAAGAATGCGGGTGTACAGACGTCGACGTGAACGTTTCGCCGACGCTTGCGTTCCCCAGGTGGATAGATTCGTCCGGGGCAGTGTTATGATGTGGGGAGCGATCACCTGCCGTAGGAGAAGTGATTTGGTGATGATCCAGGCAACCTGACAGCTCAACGGTACTGTGACGAAATCCTACGCCCACACCTCCTTCCAATCATTGATCGCCAGAGGGACTTGTTTCAACAGGACAATGCCAGGGCCCACACAGCACGTCACATTAGAGACTTCCTCCAGAACCACAATATCAATGTGCTCCCCTGGCCCTCAAGATCACCGGATTTAAACCCAATCGAACATCTGTGGGATGCCCTGGACAGACGGGTGCGACGCCGTAACCCTCAGACACTTCAGCAACTCGCACAGGCACTACAGGCAGAGTGGGCTGCGATTGGGCAAGATTCTGAGACTTATTCGTTCGATGCCGAGGCGATGCCGTGCAGTTCTGGATGCCCACGGTGGTCACACGAGGTATTGACTTCAGCGCCACCACGTGTCTCCATGTGACACTCAAACTGACTTTCCTCGAGTTGGTGCCAAAGACGGTAAGTCTGCATTCCCAGTGTGCAATTTCGCTATATTTCATTGACTCATAAAGCCTACAAGATGTTTCAACATAAACATAAAAATACAGTTGAAATTCCTATATGCGTTTCTTTTTTGGGAGAGTATATATAAGTTTGATACAATCAAATAATTCCATTTAATTTGAAAAGGAGGCCCAGTGATCTGTTTGATTCGCATTTTAGAAGTAAACTGTTGATGAATAATAAGAAAGGTAGGATACTTTTGGGATAACATCTTATATAATAACAAAGTTGTTATCCATAAAGTATCGTACCCGTCTTATGAGGCCCAGTGAGTTGGGAGATTCAGATTCCTGAACCCGAGGAAACCTAGACTTGCTTCACGTAGAGCTTTAACACTGCAGGAATGGCTGGGCAGAAAGGGAAATAACGCTGTTTAGGGACTGTGAGACAGACTACGGTTCGACATACCAGTGGTTTCACTGTGTGAAACCCATTTGTGGTGTCCCCCGACTTGATATTGCTGGAATATTGCTAAAAGCGGCGTAAAACTAAACTCACCTACATAGCCAAGTACATAGCCGATTGTACAAACCCGACTATACCATGAGCATGTGTTTTTGAACCACTATCAAATAGGGATGACACCAGGTGTTCGCGGAAAGGTGAATACTGTATATCCTGGCCCAACCGTGGCACCCGTCATTAACACAGGCAAAGGCTAGTCAACTGTTCGCCTTGACAAACCGAGAACGTATGGCACAAGTCCAAATTGGGAATTGCATCGGACGTGATATTTTTGATGCGTCAAAAATTTGGAAATGTCCTCGTGTCTTCCATGAATTGTTGAAAGTTTCACTGAAGCCTTACATGTTGTAGCCTTGATCGAACAACTGAGCGAGAGTCGATTTCAACGATCCACGCTGGTCCACCATGTCTGTCCAACCGATCACATAAGTTGCCCGTATAGTGAGTGAGTAAGAGTGAGTATGGTTTTACGCCGCTTTTAGCAATATTCCAGCAATATCACGGCGGGGGACACCTGAAATGGGCTTCATACATTTTACCCATGTGGGGAATCGAACTCGGGTCTTCGGCATGACGAGCGAACGCTTTAACCACTAGGCTACCCCACCGCCCTGCCCGTAGATGACGGAGTTGGGTTGCTTGGGGCCATTTCTAGCCCGGCATCCGTAAGGGGCCTTGGATTCGAACCTAGTACCAGCGCAACAAAGGTTCATAATTTGTCTAATACGTCTGCGATATGACAACTGTGCCTCTTGTCTAGAGGTTAAGGGGGCAGTTGGCTAGTCCAGAGGATAAGGTGTTCACACCGAAGATCCGTGTTCGATCCCCCACATGGGTACAATGTGTGAAGCCCATTTGTGGTGTCCCCATCGTGATGTTGCCAGAATATTGCTACATGCAGCGTAAACTCAACTCACTCACTTTAGAGTCTAAGGCGTTTGTTCATCAGGATTGAATCCAGAAAATGTGAAACATCTAGTTTGTGTTTCCTCGTGCATGTGTCTCTTGAGCAATGATCATAGAGTTCCAATAAGATGGACGACCACGTCGTCTATTATACTGTAATTACATGACACCATCTACTCTTTCCTTATTCGTTGTAACAACGGTCCTGTAATTACGTGCTAGAACAGGGCAAGGTACGTATAGGATAATGAGTCGAGGATGATAAGATAGTTAAAGATACACACCCTGCGAAAACTGTGTGTACCGTAGTTGTTCCAACGTTGGTGCACGTAGCGGTATGTTGTCTTCTGTAACTGGAGAACTACGTACAGCTGTATATATAAACGTCAATGTTTCTTCAATGAAAACATTCCCCACATGGGTACAATGTGTGAAGCTCATTTCTGGTGTCCCCCGCCGTGATATTGCTGGAATATTGCTACAAGCGGCGTAAAACCAAACTCACTCACTCACTCTATGAAAACACGTTTACTGAAGACCATATCCATGAGATTATTGCCTTCTTGAATAGCCTTGAATATATTTCTATGACATGATTAGATTTCAGTTCAAATATTTTTCACGATTTGTTTTATGATATGAGAATGATAACTTCTATCAATTTTTTACTGCGGTTCTTTACATGCAATACATAGTTTTTAATCTACTGGTTCTGCACCGACGTGAAGCAATATTCATCCATGCATTATATTGGGTGGGAACACCAACCATGTTCCGTTCAGTGTAGAACTATTACATCTCACAGTTCCTACACCACATTATTACGATGATTTATCATGTTTAATGACTTATATTAATAGTTGTAGCCAGGTAATCTTCTCTTCTAAATAACCAGACTGAGATTGGTAACGGGAGAAGTTTGATGTCGGACGTTGACATCCTCGATGAGGTTTTCAGAAAGAAAACTTCTCAAATCATATCACTGCGCATCTTCCGGAAGTAAGGGAGATAACTCGATCACTATACAAGTCAAGTTTCCAGTCGCCTAAACTATAACAGCAACACCATCCCTAGTTTCAACATTGCCGGACTGGGTTTGTATTTGTGCGTTATATTTTGGCTGAACTAACGAGTCGATGCATACGTGTAGTCGGATCAGAACAGCATAACGAAATCAACTTCCGGTTCATAAATAGCATGGCGACAGCCGTGCAGATCTCGATCGACTGTCGGATTGGAAAACATGTACACGTGTGTACTGCCAAATATTTGGCGAATACTTTACAAATATTTCCTTGTTTTTAATAAAGTTGCTAAAGTAATTTGGTGTACTTCGCTATGTAAGAGCAGTTATATTACAATGTAGATCTTGATTAAGGAATACGATAGGTGGAATCTGATTGATGTAAAACAAATCATATTCCACAGCATACTCTAACATATGTTTGTTTTTCAGTTGAAAATATCTTCTGTTAGCTATGTTATATCCAGAAAAGAACTTGTTTTGTGGGGATTTAATTCTTTTTACTAAAAACTGCGCTTAGAATTTAATAACTTTTCGCACAATACACAACTGGTGATGGGCGTCTAAGACATGTTATCTGTATGAAATGTTATCTTTTATTTGTAATTCTAGGCAAATTTATAGAATTTCAAACATTGTTTAAGTCACGTACTTGCAAGTTCATTTGTTACAGAAGGTTTCATTGAGCTCATTCAATTTTGCGCAGAATCATGCAGAGTCAGAATATTTTTTACAAGCTGTTGTAGGAATGAATGGTTTAACAGACATAAAAAATAACAGCATTTCTTTCTAGTTTGAATCATTGAATACGGTATACTCCTTCATGTCCTTAAATGTATTTGGTCACAGGCAGTGTGATACTATATACAAGGACCTTTTATAGGATATTGCCACCAGCTATCAACTTACCATTGTATAGTAACCACAGCGGTTGTGACCTGCAGACGCTTGGGTAATTTCAATACCACTTTATTACAGGTTTTACGGTAGCAGCGATCAATGTTTACAACAATAAAGCTCGACAATAACAGGATATGGTCAGATACTTATTGGTGCAATAAACAGGTTCATGGCCTGGCCAAAATCTAATTACATTCATTTTGTAACCGAGAAGCGAGCTTATTGCCTAGTGTCTGCCTCCCGTCGGCCATTGCGCATGCGTGCTGGCGTAACGGTATATTAGTTTTATCAAGTGAATAAACTGACGACGCATTCAGAATACAGAATTATTTCATCCTTCCTCAAAGGAATGCTAATGTCGGATATAAAGGGATTGTGATCCGGTGGCGGATGGCCCCTGTTTTAGTTGGCGAAGGGGACGAGTTGAGGTCTGCCTGACGCCACAATGTTAAATATATTCCAATTTTGTTCGGATTCTTGTGCATTCTGCATTTCAAACAGGATTAATATTCCTTTTGATATATTTGTCTTAGATTATACATGCATCGGAATATAAATCTGTAATGACATTGAAATGAAGCGACTATTAAACATGACTGGAACAAGTGATTTCGACGAAAATATGAAAAAGGTAATGTGTTATATTTAGAAGTTACATTTTGAATCCAGTTAGGATGAAATGGTCGACGTGACCCTAAACACTCACTTGAACTCATTCTTGTGACATACCTTTCGAAATTGTAAAAACTCACACCTGACACGACAACACTGCGATTTCACAACAAAAACAAAAACAAACACACAAACATAAACACGTGAACATCAAAATATGGGACCCGTGAAGATCCGGGGCAGAATAGGTCTTCAGCAACCCATTCTTGTCATAAAAGGCGACTATGCTTGTCGTAAAAGACGACTAACGGGATCGGGTGGCGGGGCTCGCTGAGATCGATGCTCATGGTGTTGATCACTGGATTGTCTGGTCCAGACTCGATTATTTACAGACCGCCGCCATATAGCTGGAATATTGCTGAGTGCGGCGTAAAACTAAACTCACTCACTCACACAAAATATGGGGTGGTGAGGTAGCCTAGTGGTTAAAGTGTTCGTTCATCACACCGAAACCTGGTTCTATTCCCCACATTGGTACAGTGTGTGAAGCCCATTTCTGGTGTCCCCCGCCGTGATATTGCTGGAATATTGCTAAAAGCGGCGTAAAACTAAATCCACCCACTCATCAAATGCGAAAACATACTTAGACAGTATCAAACATTTAGATAAGGCTGAATAATCTATGTATCGGACCAACACAGATGTCAGCAAAATATTCCAATTACCTGTTCGGTAAAATAATCCAAGATATTTAGCATTAGCTATTACCAGCAAATGACACACTGGCAAGTTATTATCGCTACTGCTCGTTAGACCACCTCAAAGCCACACGCAAGTTGCTCGTCGTCAGTCTCAACAGGCGCCGGCGCGCTGACAGGAACAGCAAGTGTCTCGCGTACACACTCGTGGTGTTCCATCTCCGACGACGACTTGAGAGCCCCGTGAGACAGTGTGGTATTGACTGGTCTAGGAACACTTCAGACAGGCTGAGATGTGATGTTAGGCTTCTCAGGCCTCAACACTAGGCATATGAACAGCCGAAAACATTAAGTCGTTAGCGCTACGCGTCTTAAAGGCTTGCTCTGAGATCATGTAACTTAAGCTTTCAGGATGAGTGAGTGAGTTTAGTTGTACGCCGCACTCAGCAATATTACAGCTATATGGCGGCGGTCTGTAAATATTCGAATGTGGACCAGACAATCCAGTGATCAACAGCATGAGCATCGATCTACGCAATTGGGAGACGATGACATGTGTCAACCAAGTCATCGAGTCTGGCCACCCGATCCCGTTAGTCGCCTCTACGACAAGCATGGGTTACTGAAGATCAATTCTAACGCGCATCTTCACGGGTCCTTTCAGGATGAGAGTTGAATACGTTTTTGTGATATTTGATTGCGTTTACACATACATTGGGCGAATAAACGATTTCCCTTATTCTAATAACTGATGATGCGACGATGCTCATTCTATCGACCATCGGTTTGCCTGGTCCAGATTCGATCACTGACCAGCTGCCGTGGATTACTGCCGACTGTATCGTAAAACAGTTATCGATGTGATCGTAATTGTGTTACAGGTTGTTCCTTCAGTTTTAGGGGCGGTGGGGTAGCCTAGTGGTTAAAGCGTTCGCTCGTCACGCCCAAGACCCGGGTTCAATTCCCCACATGGGTACAATGTGTGAAGCCAATTTCTGGTGTCCCCCGCCGTGATATTGCAGGAATATTGCTACAAGCGGCGTAAAACAATACTCACTCACTCCTTCAGTTTTACAATGATCTACCACTGTGTTTGTTCCTTCGTGTGAGTGAGTGAAGTTTTGGCAATATTCAAGGAAATTCACTGTCCCCCTCTCTCTCCAACTCAGGCACCCAAACACGCAACCGCTTACACAGTACATGAATGTGGTCATCAAGGCAAGTTAGATTTACCGTAAAGACCAAAAATTACATACCTAAATATGCACTCCATTTGTTTAGTTCATCCTGTTTCACCTCCCCTCTGATATGAGGATCGGATGGTCAGAATGAACGTTCAATTATGATCCACCAGCAAACCTCGGCCTACATACACCAGCCACACAAAGCGGGCTTGGTTCAACGACAATCATAATTCCCACTCGCTATACACGATTTCGGTTTGCGACCGGCGGAGTGGAAATATATTACTTCTTGACACAAATCTCAAGGAGATGGAAACTAGACATTTTGTGTGTCAAAACAAAAACGAAATCCTCAATAGAGGAATAACACACAAGTCTTTTCACAACACATTCTGTTCCACATACAGCTTTTCTACCGGGCAAATTATTTACTTGTTAAAATCTAATGCAAAATATTGTTTTCAGAATAATACTGATATTTTATCAAAAAATTCATTTTTGAAATATATTTTTGTAATTTGTTCTGTACAGATGCATTCGTGACAGATACGTACGTATCACCTCATCTGGAAACTATATCTTAAAGTGTCTCTGGATCGACAAAACCGACACGATTTCAACATTTCCTTGTCCGCATCTGTCTCCCAACACGTTTATAATAGCATTTCCTCTACAGACGGAACCAGGTTTACCCAGACCACAGCTGGCTGAGTATCCTGCGCTGACGTCAACGGTCATACACAGACATCGGAACTGGCCAGATTTCGCCAATAATACGAGATGCGTGTTTGAGGGCCTCTTCCAATTTACTCTCCCAGTCTGTGGTCGTGGCCCTACTATCGTGAGATTTGCGATGGCTCAAACTAATGAACGAAGTGCTAAACCTACAGTCTTGTCCTCAAGACGAGGTCGTCCTCCTCACAAAACCACTTTTCAAGATCGACGTATAGATAAATGGCTTGGAAGGCGGTATATATTTTAGTGAATAGAAATTAATTACCTTATTTAATGAGACATGAAAAAAGCTTTGATCTTTTATCAATTTTGGACATAACTGGTCTTCGTGGTTTTTCTAAGTGCGTCAAGTACATATTAAAATTATTGTGTTTACCGCGAGTCTGACAGTGATCAGTTCCAGTGTAGCGCAGAAAGAGTCATCACTCAAACTTTAATCTTTTTATTCTCGTCGTTCTACGTGATCCGATTGTTAGAGAAGGTTCTGAAGCAGAAGTGATTATAAATCAATCTTCGAAGATGTGTTTGCTTGGATCTACGCACGAAGTGTTCCAACCGTTGGAAAGTGTTCTGGTGGTTGAGGTCTGCTATTTCGTATCATCGAGTGACTTGAGGGTCTGTGTGCAAAGGCACGGCACGATGACGCCATGGCACAATGTGATGACACCATGGCAGAAAGCGATGACACCATGGCACAAAGAGATGGCGCCATGGCCCAATGCAATGACACCATGGCATAATGTGATGACACATGACACAATGTGATGACACATGACACAATGTGATGACACCATGACACAATGTGATGACACCATGGCCCAATGCAATGACACCATGGCATAATGTGATGACACATGACACAATGTGATGACACATGACATAATGTGATGACACATGACACAATGTGATGACACCAAGACACAATGTGATGGCACAATGTGATGACACCATGGCACAATGTGATGACACCAGAACACAATGTGATGACACCATGGCACAATGTGATGACACCGTGACACAATGTGATGACACCAAGACACAATGTGATGACACCGTGACACAATGTGATGACACCGTGACACTGTGACGACACCTTGGCGCAATGTGACGACACCATGGCAGAGTTTGATCACACCGTGACACAACGTGATGACATCATGACACAATGTGATGACACCATGGCGCAATGTGATGACACCATGGCACAATGTGATGACACATGACACAATGTGATGACACCGTGACACAATGTGATGACACCGTGACACAATGTGATGACACCATGGCACAAAATGATGACACCATGACACAAAACGATGCCACCAAGGTGCAATGTGATGGCATGTTCCGATGACACATCACACACCATGACATCCACATCCGTCAGCCCGTCCGTCTGTCTTCTTTTGACCCTCCGTCTGTCTTCCCTCAGGGGAAGAGATAGTTCTTGATGTCTACAGATTATCAAGATCTCTTTGCAATGACATTCGTGTTCGTTTAAGTGCATCCCTTAAAATCTTTCTAATATCCGTCATGGAACTTTCAAAAACAGCTAGTGATCTTGAACCTCTTTAATAGCTCCTTCCGGTGTTTTGTTTAATTTCAATTATTGTATGAAAAGTATGGTGTGTTGCAATACTATTTTCCATGTGTATATCTTTTTGGGATGGGGGAATTACGGAAGCGAGATGAACCTGACTCAACTGACGTTGGGAGACAACACACCTCTGATGTATGGCCTTGTTTTGCTACAATGGCTTTTTTATTTTTCTAAACCTAAATTCAAATGACACATCATGAATCTCATTCCGTTTAACATTTTTTCAAAGAATTGTCAAGGGAGAGACAGAAATGTTATTTCCTCTTCACGTGTGTTTTGTAAGGAGTAGAGCGTGACAAGTAGACTAACGCTTAGTCCCTGAATATATCATTTTGGTTGTGACAAATAAACCCATTTAAATTGAAAAGGAGACCCAGTGAGATGGGATATTCAGAACCCGAGTAAGTCTAGACTTGCTTCATCTAGGGCTTTAGCATTCCAGGAAGGACATGGCAGTAGGGAAAATAATGTGGATCAGGGGCTGTGAGACAGACCATGTGACAAGATGTGGTAAGGCTCTATTGTTATCTTCTCAGGGGCGCTGGGGTAGCCTAGTGGTTAAAGCGTTGGATCGTCACGCCGAAGACCCGGGTTCGAATCCCCACATGGGTACAATGTGTGAAGCCCATTTCTGGTGTCCCTCGCCGTGATATTGCTGGAATATTGCTAAAAGCGGTGTAAAGCTAAACTCACTCACTCTTACATGCTGTCATGAAGTTGGAATATTTCTAAAAGAGAATTCAACAACAAACAAAAAAACCGTCAATGGCTGTCAATGTAATACAAAACACAAACAAACCGTAAGAGCTTCAACAGCCTACCAGGAAGTTCCGCTCCTATACAACCTAACCCCAACATGCCAATCACGAGGACTCTAAGAGACCTTGGAACTACTTTCGTTTTTACTGATGATGGACAACGAAGAAGAACCTGTGACAAGCTGACATTGATCTCTGGGCAAAGCGAGTTGATAATAAATCGCAATTTCCAGCGTAACTGTCCATGTCGCAGAGCCCTGCAACTGGGTTTACGAAGACGGACATAATTTGGTTAA